TTTGATTAATGGTATGCACATAAATATTTAAATGTATCCAAGATGCATAATAAATACAAATCAATATGAATTTTTTTTTGTTTATTAGGCGATTGGAGTCCATTTAACATTGAAACAGTCCGATTAATGACGAATATGTTTGATACTGGTATGTTTGAAATATCTATATTTGTACAAGAATAAAAAAAGTCGAATTAACAGTTAATAATAATTGATATTGAATTAATTCTGGCAGATAATACTGGAACGATTAACTTTAATGAATTTGCTGGACTTTGGCGATATATTGAAGATTGGAAAAAGTGTTTCCAAACTTTTGATGCGGATAGATCAGGCACCGTGAACTTCCAAGAACTTAAAACAGCATTGAAAACATTTGGATACAATTTAAGTGACAATTTCGTCAACCTACTAATTAAAAAGTATGACAAATACGGTAAGTAGAATTTTATCTGTTTGATGTTATGTTTTAAAAAGGAATACATGTGTGTTCCTGGATCTTATTAAAAAACATTGTGTGGCTGATATAAAGGGGGTACCAAAAATAAATTAGGAAAAGGAGATGTAACATTTGACAATTTCGTGTATGTATAATTCATTCTTCAGCTTTGAAAGAACCTTTTTTTGAGAATCTAACTAAATGTTTCATTAACAATTAATTACTCAGCAATCTTGTGTGACTGTCAAGACTCTTACAGACGCTTTCAGACGTTATGATACAGACAGTGATGGCTGGATTATGATCAATTATGAGCAGGTATTTTAGCAAATATTTAATTATTACATTCAAGGTTTTTTTTTAAGATCATCGATGCTAATATTCACTTTTTTTTTATTCATAGTTTCTCGAGTTGGTTGTTAATAATCGATAGAAGATTCCAACAAGAATTGATATTATTTAATACATATTTATCATGATGATCTTTTAGTGATAATTGAACATCATCTTTTTATTATATCAATAATTATTATATTTGATTTGGCTTCTATGAAGAAATTATATATGTTACATGTATTTTGAAGATATCTGTGTTATAAATGGGTAAACATCAGTAAAAGATCAGTAAAACATCATTAAAATAATAGTCATAATTTTTTTTTCCAAAAGTTTATTTCAGATATATATAATCAATAATTTTAAGATTGCACTTACCTAGTCTACAAATATCTGAAACGATAAAAAAATATTCATAGCAGCATAAAATTTATGTTGACTGATCGAATTGGGTAATGAGGAAAAAAACAATTTTCTTATTTAAATTTTGCTTATGAAACTATATTCTATTGTCTCCTATTCGAGATAATAGGTGGTATATATTATCAATTTCCAGAATACTTAACTAGATCTTGTATGCTACAGTAGATATAGTAAAAAATTGGTAAACAAAATTATTTTATTTACATACACGGATCAAATTATATTCAATACCTTGTACGACGAGTATACTAGCCATAAAATATAACTTTCTAGCATCACTCAAAAATCCGTTACTCATCTAAAATTTTAACAATAACCATGGTGACAAGTGTTCTTCACAAATCGGTTTGGGTCGGACATTGTAATAACCGGAACCGAAAAAAACGGTTCTGTCCAAATAAATCCAGAACTGAGAAAAACCTGGAATCGACAAAAAGAACCGGAAGTAACGTATTTTATTACCCGAGATGTGACATATAGTTACTTTGTACAACACAAAATATATGAAAATTTTTTTGAATTTGTTTTTCCGAATTATACCCTTCTATGTATTTTTAATCAGGTACATAATTTCGGTATTTATGATCTCATCATTAGTATTTAAATTGAGCTCGATTGTAAAGATCTTCAATCTTAGAATTAGCTGATAATTATTTGTAAGATATTGTTTTAATAGGAATTTTATCAATTAATGCACACAAATGCATATCGATATATTTCGAAATATATAGAACTGAATTCACGAGACCTCAAATTATGGCTATTCTTTAGCGTTAAATAAAAATTTTCTTTACGAATATTCGCAGTTTTCTTCCATGAAAAGTTTTGTAATTGTGGCATGATTTGCAATCTTTATAATAATATTTGGAAACTCTATTCTTTTTTAATGTTGCTCAAATAAAAATCGTACAATCTATTTAATTCATTCAGATCATCCGATTAATCTGCAATTTGCAATGTTTTTTCTATTAAACGGAATCTAAAATTCCAGCTAGATAATAATTTATTTTTATATTGTTTATTTTTGCATGATACCCATTCATAATATATCATATACATATTCATGTTTTCAATTTCCTTTCCCTCCAATGAAACCGTATAATATATGGATTTTTACAACGATGTAGAAATGTGCGCTAAATAAATAAGCCGAATATGGAAATAAAATAAAATAAAATATAGATTTTCCATGCAATGATTAGTCGTGGAAAAGTACTGTGAAAGGTTAAAGATTTAGCCGATTTCGCACGATTGTGCGCCAATCAATAAATTTCAATACGTAAAACAAATTTCTTTCTTTAGTAGTGTATATTAACATAAATACATATATCGATATATAAAGTAGATATGGGTATTATTATCGTTATACGTAGTACGTAGTACGTACAGTACGTACGTAGCTATGGGTAGTGATTAAATATTCGCCGCCATAATATCCAAATATATCATGTAATTAAATGTATATCTAACGCTAAGAGATTCGTACTAATTAATCAAAACTATG